GGCATGGTGGCAGGTGCCTGTAATCCCAGCTACTCGGGAGGCTGAGGCAGGGGAATTGCTTGAACCCAGGAGGTGGAGGTTGCAGCGAGCCAAGATAGCACCACTGCACTCCAGCCTGGCGACAGAGCAAGACTCTATCTCAAAAAAGAAAAATAAAAAGAAAGAAAATAGAATATATCAAACAATATACCACGTAAGGATAGGTTTTGTTTTAGGAAATTTTGTTTTCTGTTATGCGTTTGTATGTAAGTGTGTCTTGAATTGCTATGTAAAAACATAAGCTTAAAGCAAAAGTGTGAAAGCCATTGTCCTGGGAGACAGCCTGTTAATCAGGCATGTCCTACATTTATAAAGAAGGCTGGTGTTTATCTGAATGGAAGCAAACATGGCTGGCTAAACTAGCAACGAAGGAGTTAAATTATTTTTTCTGGGGGAAAAATTTATATATGTATATATATGTTTGTGTGTGCATGTATGTGTGTATACTCAAGTAAGAATCTCTCAATGAGCTGGGAAGAGACGACTTCCCATATAGAATTAGAAATAGGAAAGAGAAAGGAAGAAAGGGAGGAGGAAATAAAAGTGAAATAAAACAATTGAGGAATCTGTTAAACTTGAGGAACTCCTAGGATGTACATTTCCACCTACAAAAAAAGGTTCAGAAGACAGATGAAAAAGGGCAGAGAAGTACTTATTTCCAAGTGGAGAAAATCTTCTTGATGAAACAGAAGTGGAGCCGGGGTGGCAGGGCCTGTTGTTAGGGGCTTGAATAGGTCTTCTGACTAATACGAATGATGGCTAACATCCATTAAATGCTTACAATTTTCAGCTGATTTAAACTTCATAACTTTATGAGGTAGGCACTAACATTTCTCCTGCAAAAGGGGATGGGGGTGGCACAGGTGGTGGCATGGGTGGGCAGGGAGAACAGGTTAAATTCCAGAAGCATTTAAAACAGTTGCCAGAAAATATGCCTAGTCATGGGTGTTAGAGGATGGAGCTTTTCCCCCTAAGATCCTAACATCTAGCAATTCTAATCAGTATACAGACCAGTCCAAAATGCACATGTAATCATATTACTTACATTTTTCTTTGTCAAAATCAACATAACAGATATTTTGCTTTTTATTCTGGGAATAGTAAGTTAGTAGACATGCCATCCTTATGTGATTTTAGTCCTGCATTTTTTTGGGGTATTACTAAATGCAATAAATCATACTGAATTAAAAATACTAATGATAAATCTGATGACAGTAAGATTTTTAAATTCTATTAAAATTAGCAGATCTTCTCATTTCAGTCTCTTTGCTCCCACAGCACATAAGAATTTTGACCAAAGACCTTTCTCTCTGTGCTTTATATGTTCTTGGTAAATTATAATTTCCACTAATCCTATTCCCTGTGCATAGGTAATTCTTTTTAAAGGCTGATGTATAACTACTTTTTTAAAGAGATGCAGAAGGACCAAACCAAATAACTTCATTACTTTTCAAAAAGGCAACACTGATCTCACTCTTTTTTTTTTT